TCCAAAAACCACCTGTGGGCCCACAAGCCTGATCATGAGCTTTGTTTGAGATCTAGAATAACATTTTCCACAACCTTTATGACCCAAGAATGACCTACTCAGAGAGGAAATTACTTCTGGACCCTAGGCAAGGATGCCGAGGCCCTGCACCCAGATGTTAAGAGGGGAAAGACAGGAGAGATTTATAAAATACTTGGCAGATAAAATGAACAGGACGTTGATGCATTAGCTGTCCAAAGAAAGGGAACAAGAGAGAGGAAGAGGAGAGATAGAAGGGGGCTAAGTTGACCCCCGTAGCTCAGGTAACTTGGAGGGTGGGTGTCCCTTATTGATCTAGAGCAGTGGTCCTCAACTTTTTTGGCACCATGGACTGGTTTTGTGGAAGACAGTTTTTCCACTGACTGGGGGCAGAGGGATGGTCTGAGGAAGATTCAAGCTCATTACATTTGTTGTGCACTTTACTTCTATTATTATGACATCAGCTCCACCGTGGATCATCAGGCATTAGATCGCAGAGGTTGGGGACCCCCGTCTAAAGAGCACATGATTAAGCGGCACATCTCAGGGAGAAAGACGGTGGTTTCAGTTTAGCATATCTGAACCAACCATGTCTCTCTGCCCGTTTTGTCCTCCTTCCCTGTAGCACCGCTCGAATTATCTTCCTAAAATACAGGTCAGATCCTGCCATTCTCCTTCTCAATTTTTTTTTTTTCTTAGTTCTTGTTAACTAGAGAGTCATTTAGATGTTCAGACTCCTTAACAGGGGACTCAGAGCCCTACACAAGCTGGCTTTGTTTGGTTTCATTATCATCTTCTAGCACAACAGAACCCACCATGCAGTTTCTCACCTTCTTGCTTTTCTTCAAGCTGTTCTCTCAATCTGGAATGCCCTCCCCACTCTTCCCGCCTCGGAGAATCCTACTCAGTCTTGAGACTGCAGTTGGCTTTCTCCATCCCCCAGAAAGCCTCCTGTCACCCTGGTGGTGAGTAGTCGCTCTTTATTCAATATTTCTATAGCAATATATGCGTATTTTTCCCCTGCTATTATAGTGCATTTGCTCAAGTGTGCGTTTCTTCTGTGGGTTGGCAAACACTTTAAAAAGGGCCTCCCAGGTGGCTCAGTGGTAAAGAATCCGCCTGCAGTGCAGGAGGTGTGGGTTCCATCCCTGGGTCAGGAAGATCCCTGGGAGGAGGAAATGGCAACCCACTCCAGTATTCTTGCCTGGAGGATCGCATGGACAGAGGAGCCTGGTGGGCTACATAGGGTTGCAGAAGAGTCGGACATGGCTTAGTGACTGAGCAGAGCCCAGCCCAGCAAATGCTTAAATTTAGGGATTGTGTCTCATTTATCTCTGTTTCTTCCCATCTGCCAGCACATGACTCCCCACGTATCAATTGCTCACTAAATAATGAAAGAAAAGCAGAGAAATTGGTCAAGGTTAGAGTGGAAGTGGACTCTGGGGTGTGGGGGAAGAAGTGATGGGTTGTGTAGGCTTGCTTTAGAACCTGGCGACTGGGATGGAAACTCTGGGCTGTGGAGAACAGGTGCAGAGGATAATAATGAGGGAGGCAGTGGATTATGGGTAATGTGAGGGGTTCACATATAAAGACAGGATCCCATGACGCCAAATCATTGTGAAAGTGTTAGTCCCTGAGTGGTGTCCAACTCTTTGTGACCCCATGGACTGTAGTCTGCCAGGCTACTCTGTCCAGGGGGTTTTCCAAGTGAGAATACTTGGGTTGCCATTCCCTTCTCCAGGGGATCTTCCCAACCTAAGGATCAAACCCAGGTCTCCTGCATTGCAGGCAGATTCTTTGCCATCTGAGCCACCGGGAAGTCCCACAAAATCCTGGGTGAACACAATTTAGCCTACCTTATGGGCAGACAGGCCAAATTATAACATCCCTTCATCAACAGAGAATTTTTATTCTGCCCATTTAAAAAGACACATAGCCTCTTCATGTAACCAAAACCCTTGCATATTTGCTGATGGCTGCTGTGTCTTTGTCTGATGCCGTTAAAGAGATGGGACCTTGACCAATAGTATGATGATGACCCATTGCCATTCCCATTTATTTAATTGTAGAAAAGATAGGCAAGAAGGTATTTTATTAATAAGATTTCTTCGACCCTTAATTATTCTTTTCACATGATACTCTTTCATTAGCCTGTATTTATTTTTAGCAGCACAAAGGAAGAATGAAAAATATTATCTTTTAATAGAATAAAACAATTCGTGGTCTTCCCTCTGGCTGCTCTCACACAAATGCATGTCTATTATGTTAGTATCTGCACTGCACGCTTTGCGTGCTGTCTGCGTATGCTCTGTGTAACCACGCTTAGCCCAGTCTTAGTAAAAGGACTGCCAGCTGTGGGTTCTTGGTGTTGTCTCGGTAGTGTCTGACTCTTTGGCAACCCCATGGGCTGCGGCCCACCAGGCTCCTCTGTTCAAGGGATTCTCCAGGCAAGAATACTGGAGTGGGTTGCCATTTCCTTCCCCAGGGGATCCTGCATTGGCAGGCAGGTTCTTTACAGCTGAGCCACCAGGTAAAGCCCAACTGTGGATTACAGGTGGGGAAAAAAAAAAAAAAAAAAGAGGAAATACCTTGAACATTCCAGTTTTCAGTTGGGGCTTCCCTGGTAGTCCAGTGGTTAAGAACGCACCTTGCAGTTTAAGGGACACTGGTGCGACCCCTGGTCCAGGACGATCCCACACGACCGTGGAGCAAGCCAGCCCGCGCAGCGCGACTCGGAGCGCACACGCTGCGGCTCCTGCAGCCGGCGCGCCCAGAGCCCGCGAGCCGCATCAAGAGAAGCCCACACGCCGCAAGGCGGAGCAGCCCCTCCTTCACAGTGGGGAAGGCCGCGTGCAGCCAGGAGCGGAAGTAAATAAGTAAATCTTCACAGAAGTGTTCAATTAGCTGTTTTCCACGACAGCAGATACCTCCCTGTTCAGCCCCATGTTCGCTCCCCTGGGAGGTTCAAGTATAAAGAAAATGCCAGGGGAATGCAACGCCTTTATTCTCAGATGCGTTCTGGCTGCCAGCCCCTTCGCTGGACCGGCGTGCGTGATCAGTTAGGACCCGTGAGGGCCACCAGGATGCCCCTTGCCTGGGCTCGAGGCTGGCCGCGAAGCCTGAGGCGTGGCTGCTTCGAGTGGCTCTCACGTGGCTCTCCCAGTCCAGGAGGCTCTCCGGGGTGGGGGACAGCCCATGTCCCTGTCAGGCAATCTCCTCTCAGTCAAGTCCCAGAAGGAGTCAGTCTCAGAGAAATCGAAAGGGGAATCCCAAGGAGGGAGGGCTCCAAAGAGACAGTATAGTTTCTCTCTGGCTATACAGGTGGGAGAGCCTTTATTAATGCCTGCTTCTCAGGCCCACCTCTTTCCTTCCGAAACACCACAAGCCAACACTGTCTTAGCTCTTCCCAGCTCCCAGTGGGGGAGGGGAGAAGGTCAACAAGCTAACCTCATAGGTTGGATGCACAGCCAACATTGGTTTAGAGGCTAGTAAAGGGATGTCAACGTTTATGCCAAGTATGACTATCTTATCAGATACCTATGGCTCTGCCTCTCACAGGCTTATGGCTTTTTTCCAGCCTTTGCTGCAGCAACGGTCAGGTGTGGTTGACAGCAGCTCTCCAACAATCTCTCACATCCTGCACCAGCGGCTTCTTTGCCGCCTCTGTGGCTGGCTGTGGGGAGCTTCTCAGTCATTCCGAATCACGGGCAAAGCTGGAAGTGCAAAGGAACTGACACACTGCGGCCACCCTGGCCCCTTCTGCCTTCTCTCATGTGACTTGTCAATCCGGAGACACTTTTACACAGCTCCTCAGGAGGTTCCCACAGCGACTGAATCCAGTTGTTCACTGCAGTGACTATCTTGCCAAAGCGCCCTGGAATTGGCTTTCCCCTCTTATCAGCTTCACTCTTTCTAGTTTCCCACTTTTGTTTCTGGAATTACTTCCGAAAATAAATCTCAGCATTCAGTTTTTTAGGGGAACCCGGAAAATACCAAGATAAAAGAAGGGAAAGTGAAAGTGAAGTTGCTCAGCTGTGTCCAACTCTTTGCAACCACATGGACTGTAGCCTTCCAGGTTCCTCTCTCCATGGGCTTCTCCAGGCAAGAATACTGGAGTGGGTTGCCACTTTTTTCTCCAGGGGGATCTTCCCGACCCAGGGATCGAACCTGGGTCTCCCGCATTGCAGGCAGATGCTTTACCCTCTGAGCCACCAGGGAAGCCTTTTTCTTTNTTGCCATTTCTTTCTCCAAGGGATCGTCCCAACCCAGCGATCGAACCCACATTTCCTGCTTAGCAGGCAGATTCTTTACCATCTGAGCCGCCTGGGAAGCCCAGGCCACCCTCAAGATGACTGCAAACAATCCAAGCATGATGCCAGTGTTTAATCAGAAGGCACACATTTTAGATCTCCTCAGTTCTGAAGTGGGCAAAAAAATATTTTTAGGCATTGTTTTGTCCCTTAAGTCTGTTGTGGCTTGAAAATGTTGAGGTGCCATTTTTGCTATAACTGCCTTGCGAGGATTCTGTTTGGTGACCACTTTTGCTTCGGATTGACTTTTGCTTGTTCAGAAAGAGTCATGGAATCATCATACATGTTATCTGTTAGGGTGGGAAGGGATCTTAGAGACCTTCTAGTTCAATCTTCCTTTTTATAAGGTACTTCCTAGTCAGACTTCAAATTCAGGTGATCTAACTCCATGGGAATGTGTTTTATGGTTGGAAAACCTTCTCTGTCATCCAGACATTCTCACTAAAGAGGCTGGAAGTCCACCTCTAGGGACTGGTGTAGGCGAAAATAATTGAAGTATGAACTGAGATAGATTCACTGCTCAAGTTCTATAATTCTGTTGAAAACGAATGAACTTACACTTACCTTAACTCCATCAGAAAAGAATTCCAAGGCAATATAGCAATTGACTTTCCCTTTCTCCTTTGCAGCTCCTACCAACATAAGCAGGATTTACATTTTCCTATTTTACAGATCCAGCTGGCAAGAATTATGGATGGGAGAACAGCTAACTCATAAAGAAGAGGTCCTGATGGATAACCTCAGACCATTCAGACCTTGGACAGAAGAATGGGCCCCTTGGTCCACAGAGCCACACTTTATTTACCCCGGGGCCGGCATTATGGGCATTTGCTTTCTTAGTGAATTGTAATTACTTGCAAAATAAACCTCATTTTGTGTGGGATTCTTCTGTTCTGAGAGCCCTATATGTAAGAGTGTTGCTGGGGTCTCTTGAACATCTGAGGTCGGTGGCACCTTGGAATGCAGTCTGAATCCCAAGAGTATTCCTGTGATTTTTTGCTCACAGGTCCTAAGGCACTGTTGGGAAGGATTCCAGTTTTACCTTCTCTTAGTGGGCTTTTCAGTTGGTGCTGGTAGTAAGGAATCTGCCTGCCAAGGCAGGAGATGCGGTTTCTATCCCTGGGTTGGGAAGATCCCCTGGGGGAGGGCATGGCAACCCACTCCAGTATTCTTGCCTGGAAAATCCCATGGACAGAGGAACCTGGCGGGCTACAGTCCATGGGGGTCACAGAATCGGACACGACTTGAAGCAACTTGGCATGCACGAATGAAAAAGCTGATGAAGTTATGTTTATTTTGTATGCGCCCCCCGGCTGCTTATGAACCACTTCAAACAGATGAAATCACCCAGCTTCTCTCCCCTCCCACTGCTCCCTCCTCTTCCATGAGTTACCCCCAAGGACTGAAAGCACTGAGGTGACTTGATTGTGTGTTTGGGCCACTAAGGAGATGTGCCTTCGGCTGTAAATCCTTCCCGAGGCCCCTGTGACCTTTGGCAGCAAGGGGCTCTCATGTGGCGCTTCTGACTGTGGGTATGGAAGTACCGATGGTCATCAAGCCTTGACATCTCTCCTTGTTCCCATGACTGGCCCTGTGGCTCTCTGAAATGGTCAAGGACAGTCTCTGGTGTCCACCATACGGGACCAGTCAGCTGTAGACACACTATAGAAAACATGGCCTTGAGTCTTAGCGTACAGTCTATTTAACCTGACAGTAGTAAAAGGATGTATGATGTTGGATGAAATCCCAACAGGGGCCACATAGCTGGGTGGAGGTGCCGGGTCCCTGAGCATGGATCTGAGTAAATGAGGATCAGGCCTGTCGTGTCCTGGATGGCTCCCATCCCATCCACTTTTCAACATTACTGAAAGCTCGTTAGCAGGGGAAACGATTACCAAACTGATGATTATTTTCTTTCTATTTCTGGCTCTTCTCAACCAAAGGGAAAATGTGAGGTAGATGTGAAATCTAAGGGGAAAAAATACATACACAAAATGAGATGTCATGTCTGCCTGTGGTGCTAGCAAAAAGTGAAGAAGTCTGACTTATTTTAATGTTTTCAATAAACACCAACCATCCCCCAACACAACTGAATATTTGAATCAGGGAGAGAAGATTATTCAGTCACCTAAGACAGTTACTGGATGAAAACATGGAGTATAGTGTCTGATTAATGATTGGCCATTTTCAAAGTGGCTTCTCCTATATTACCTCATTTTATAAAAAGTCAATTTCACCTTTTAAATGTTAAAGTGAAGTAGTTTGTAATTTCTTGCAAGTAAAGGATGTTAATAAGCAAGTTGTGAACCAGCAAATTCTTCTGCTGCCTTGTATTTTTCATCGACCATCATAGATTCACGGGGAAGCTCTAACAGAACTTTAAAATGGGGTTTTAAAACATTGTTCGCATTTGTCAGTGTGCTTGCTTGCTTGCTGTCACTTTCGCTTGCTCTCTCTCTCTTTGGGGCTCAGTTTCTTTCTCCAGTACCTTCCTTTGAACGGGGAACTAGTACTTGCATTTGGATAGATTATTATTTAGCTTATAAAACATACCACTTATTACAGTTCTTATAGTCGCTAGGCTTCATTAAGACAAACAATTACTCATCTGTAGTCCCCTCTTTGGCCATGGGATCAATAAGATGCTGTGAAGCAGGAGAGGATAAGGCTGGTGTACACTTTCCAATGTCACTAAGTATTTTCTGGAAGGAGCCCGCTTGCAGCTGTACTGATGGATGAGACGGTCTCAACACCAATGACCTTGAATGATTTACATAATAGCAGTTTGCATTAGAACCATGGCTGTTCAAGACTTGCATTTTGCAACACTTGTAACTAGCAGTGAGCACTTCCTAGGGCTTTCCTGGTGGCTCAGACAGTAAAGAATCTGCCTGCAGTGCAGGAGATCTGAGTTCGATCCCTGGGTCGGGAAGATCCCCTGGAGAAAGGAATGGCAACCCACTCCAGTATTCTTGCCTGGAGAATTCATGGCTAGAGGAGCCTGGTGGGCTACAGTCCACGGGGTCACAAAGAGTCAGACATGACTTGGCGACTAAACTTACCTAAAATACACTGAAATTCGAATATCAGAACAGAGCAAGACAAAACTCAGATTAACAAGTAGCCAAGAATGGCACCCAAGAAAGAAAAAGAAACAAGAGTATAGCCAACCTTTTTTTTTTTTTTAATTAGAGTATATTATACTTCCAAACTGGATACACTAGAAATTGGCAATGCAACATAAGATGCAAAGGAATATACCAGTTACTGTCAAAATGACCCTGTACAGCCTTGTAATGCAAAAAGCTTTATACAATACAAATTTTCAGTAATGTACATAAACCTTGACAGTATGATCATCTGAACATAATACGAGGAGTTAAAAAAAGGAGAGAAGAAAGTGCCGAGAACTCTAACTGTATCACTATATGGAAAAATAAGCTAGCTTTCATTGAAGAATGCATAGTGAAAACAGAATCAAAGTTAGTTGGCAGGTGACTATCTCAAAGACATTAGTGTTTTACGCGGAAAGGATTATCTATGGAATACATCCTTCCCTGAGTATCAAACTGCAAACCAAATTCAGGGGTATGTATTATTTCAGTGGAATCTGAAAAATGCTGTAGATTTTTCTTTATTAATAACAATAATAATAATATAAAAAGTCAAACAAACTCCAAACACACCTTTTCTCACTCAGAAAACTTTTATAATTTACCAGAAAGATTGATGACTCTTTCCAAAGTGCTAAAAAAGTTGCCCAATTACATTAAGCATCACTAAGTCATTCAAATACAAGTTCAGTGGCACACATCTGAGCGGTAACCGTCTCCTTCCAACGCCCCTCTTGATCTGGAAAGTTTTACCCTAGGACCTCGTATTGCACAAGTGGCACGCTGTGAAATCCGCCGTCCTGTCAGGGTCACCCTTCAGGTTTTCAACCTGCCGTGGCTCACGTGGGGCTCGCCCTCCTGCCAGGCTCTGTGGGTCCCCATGGCCCCCCTTCCTGTCATCACTGAACTTGTAATTGTGAAAAGCACGTGATTAGCCAAGTGGCACATTCTCCATTACATGGGGGTAAAGACGTGACTTGAAAAAAACACCAACCCACCCACAAGCCCAGTATTCTTGGAGTGTATTGTCCATACCTGTCTACAGCGCCTTTGCCCGAGGCACTGTATGCCATGTCTGACCGAGGCGACGGGGTATGACATGCCAAACGTGGCCAGGAACAGACATCTCTGCTGCAGAGGGACCCAGGGTGCGGGAGCTTCCCGCCCTCGCTGGCTCAGCCTCCCTGCCCCCCGGGGACAACTCCGTAGTGTAAACAGGTTTGCCAGGGCTGGATGACTGGCAAGGGAAGCGCAGCACACCTGCTGGGTCTGGGGGAGGAAGGGTGGGTGTGGGCAGGACCGTGGTGTGGACAGAGGTACAGACTTCCGGCTTCCTGTAGAACTGTACAAGAGGGAGCTTTCGGTGAAGCAAACCCACTAGAGGAAGAAAATTCGGGATGCTTTTATTTCCCTCCGGATGAAACAGATGGGGAAAAAAAAATCCCACCTCTAGGGTAACACATGATGGAAAACAGCAACGCAGTAAGAAAGCATTCCTCCTGTACACCGGTTCTTCAACAGATAAATAATATATAAACTTTTATATTCCAAACTTCCCATTATCATACAAAGCACATTTCTTCCTGCTCTTTTAGCCTGTTTCATACTGGAAATTCTGTTGTCTTAAAAATACAAGCCATTAACATGTTTCGCCAAAGATTCTTTCCTTCTTTTTACATCACCCCTGACTTTTTAAGAATAGCGAGGGGTTGTACAACCAATCCACACCTGCTTCTTGCTGCAATAAAGTGCTGCACATAAGTTGCCATTTTAATGACCACAAAATAAGAGCTTTAAATAAGTATAAAGTTAGCCTCCTAGCAGGTTATATCTACCAGGCGTTAACAAAATGGAATACAGAATTACTAATAACATGGAGAACACCGCTATAGCCAGACAATTTGCAAACACAATGGAAATGTCTCAGGGGCATAAACTGAATGGTAGGACTAAACAGCACCTTTTTGTTGGGTTGTTATACGTCAAAGAGGTTATGACAGAAGTTTCAAACATACAGTCTACTCATTCCATAAAAAAGGTACATTTTCTTCCTTTTAGTTTACTTTTTTTTGCAGATGAGAAACAAAAACTAGTGCAAGACCAAAGCACTGTGCAAAACTGCCGTTTCTTTTTTTTTTTTTTTTTAGTCTGAGCATTTATACCCAGAATCTATCCAAACCCCTTTTAATCTCCTTGGCTGGATTTATCAACCATAAAAATTTTCACTCATACATTTTTTTTTTCTTTTCCTGCAAACAAATGGTAACCACTGACTTAATACATCACATATATATATATATTTAATCTGCCCTTAAAAAATGATGCACTGTGTGTGTACCATACACATTGCATACATATGGGCACACACACAAATCACACTTGAGTTTTGTGATGTTGGCTGCAGTGCTGCAAGCTATTTCTTCCAGGTAGGGGCTCTCGATCGCCCTCTTCATAACCAGAGATGCGAGCACAAGATCTCCAGGACTCTGGCGAAATCGCAGGCAGCACTGAGCTGTCTACCATTCCTTCATCGAGTAAGCACCAGGCCCTACCACTCTGCAGCCACAAAACAGAGAGGGGAAAGGTGATGAAGGAGCTCCGGGAACGACTGCAGCACATGAACCACCCAGGAGGGCAAACCACGTTCATCGCTGCGAAAGAAGCCAGTACAGAGAAGGTGCAAATGTCACGGCACAAGACACACGCTGTCTCTTTCCGAATCCACAAACGCCCACATGCCCCACTCGCCCAACAGAAAACAAAATGCACC